TGGTTACTATGTTAAAATAAACAGTCCAAAATGTAAGGCGTCCTGGATAAGACAATAAACAATAATCTGACAGCAAGGACTCTGATCAGGAGGTTTTGAGGAGTGTGGAACCACCTCTTAATTGCTGGTGTTTCCAGGTTGACCCTGACCTGGGGTGGTGGCACCTGTTAGGGTCCCATCTATGGGCAAGTAGTTGACCCCCCCACAAACTAGGGTCAAAACACTATGAACATGTAAAAATAGGTTTTAATACCAGCAATGGGTTTTTTGAGGAAGGATTATTACCAGCAATACATTTCTGAAGAAAAAAATATTACCAGCCATAAATTTTTGTAAATAATTTTTACCAGTAATGAATTTTTGAAGGAAAAAAATTATTACCAGCAATACATTATTACAAGCATTATATTTTTTGAAAAATATATATATATTATTAGCAATACATTTTTGAAGAAAAAAAATACTACCAGCAATAAAAATCTTTTTCTGGCATAAAATAACCCATTGAAGTTGATGTGCTGTAAAACAAACCAAACCAAAGCAACAATAAAAATATTTTCTGGCATAAAATAACCCATTGAAGTTGATGTGCCGTAAAACAAACTAAACCAAAGCAGCAATAAAAATCTTTTTCTGGCATAAAATAACCCATTGAGGTTGATGTGCTGTAAAACAAACTAAACCAAAGCAGCAATAAAAAGTTTTTTTTTTCTGGCATAAAATAACCCATTGAGGTTGATGTGCCGTAAAACAAAACAAACCAAACCAGGCCAAGCCAAGCCAAAATGTAAGCTTCTACTGTGGATGTCAACATCAATCAGAGAGAGACAATAGGATAAAGAACAAATAGGGAACATTTATAAATCTAACATGTTTTGTTTTTATTAAAGCTTCATCAGAGAATGAGATATAGAAAAAAAATTCTGATATTCTTCTGTTGTTTGATTTTCATTGATTAAGCAGACTTCATGTGCATTTGTCTTGTCAAGTAACGTTTGTCTGTATAATTTATGTGCGTAAGTGTATTATTATTGCAGTTTGTCTATGCAAGATTCAGATGATAACGTATATATGTATGTATCTAGTAGATATTATTTATGTTTGGAGGATGTCTGCATATTGATTTGGGGATGTTTCTATACCAGTACTGGTTGTGGTTGTGGTAGTGGTAGAGAGAGAAATGTAACTATCTGAGTATCAGATCACAGAAAATGTGGTACAAAATTCCAAAAGATACATAGGAATAGTGAAAGATGTTTGCCAGAAACTATACAAAGTATTAAGAGATTGGAAAATATGGGAAAATGATATATAAATTTTTATATATCAAGAACAATTTTAGGAAAATATATAACAAAGTGGAAAAGATTTTCATAGGATGAAAATGATGTTTAGTCCAATGAAGTCCTAAAGAACAAAACACATCATCCTCCAAAAATTTTCCACTTTGTCATAGAAAATATCAGAAACAAAGAAAAAAGTGCCAAACTATGTAATATCTAATCTATACATATATAAAGGGCAGTTGTCTGTATGTGTGCCTGTGTATGTGTCCAACTAAAACTAAAAAACTACAGTAATTCATGACAAAGTAAATAAATATATATATATAAACTCAGAATCACCCAAGCTAGCTTTTTGTAAATAAATTATCATTGTATGATTTGTATTTAGGAAGATATTTTAAAATTAAAATGCATTAGAATGCATTCAAAATTCTCAGAATTCAAAAGTAAAAATGAACTGTAATAACTCTTAATTCCAGATTAGGATTACTGTTCATTTTTACATTTTAATTCTTACTAAATGCTATGCATGTGTTTTTAAATTTCTATTCTCTTGAATTTATTTTCACATCTATAGTAAATAAAAGCATAACTTTAAAAAATGAATATTAAAACAATGAAGTAAATTTAAAAGGAGAAGAATATTAAATACAATTATTTGACAAAAAGTTTAATATTTATTTATTCAAATATGTGTGTGTGTGTGTGTGTGTGTGTGTCTGGCTATAAAATAAATATACAAACTCAGTATCACCCTAAAGGGCAGATGTGTGTGCGTGTGCGTATTAGTGACTTATTAATATTTTTCCGCCATCTTATAGAAAATAATTTTTTTATTCAATCTTCATTGTTTTTTTGGTTTGTAACTAACATAAAAAAGTAAATAATTTTCAATTAAGTTTTATTAAAGCAAACAACTAGCTAGCCTTATTTTTCAAAAATTAATTTAAATAAGATATAGTTAAATTCGTAAAACAAATATTCAACATGACTAATGTTGACCATAACTCATGTCTGTCTCTGCTAGTTTATATTTAACTAAAGTTTTTTTTTTCTTTTCAAATACAAATATAACTTGAAATTTAAGCATAATTGCTTTTCAAAACTAAATTCTCAATGTATCTTGCTTCTACTCTCTTTCAAAATAGTTAGTAATTAATTGTTTAAAAGTAAAACTTTATTCACTTAAAAAAATCTAAATTCCCCTCCAAAATAAATGGTAAATAATTATTTTTTGAAGTAGTAAGGCTAACTATAGATTTTGCTTGAAAAAAAGATTAAATTAAATATGTTTAAAAATATCTTAATTTAAGTTTATTAACTTTTTTATTAATAATAATTTGAAAAAAGGTAAATGAACTTTTATCTAAGTTTGATTTGTTTGAAAACAATATTAATAGAGTATTTATGTTAGTATTTAAATAAAAAAAATAAAGTGTTTTTTTTAAATAAAAATATGGGGATACTTGGGCCTCTAAGCACCTCCTACCCAGCATGTTATTTTTAGTGTGACATTTTCCTAAATTTATTTATTTTGTAAGAAACCAAAAAAAATGAAGTTTATTTTTTAAAGATTGAATAAAAAATTATTTTCCATGAGATGGCTGAAAAATATCAATAAATTGTCAATAATAAACTATTATTCAGAGATCTTCTGAGGAATACTAGGTATCCCTGCTAGTATCTTATATGACAGTGCTTATATATATATATATTATAAATTAACTGATTTAAAATATGTTTTTTTTTCGCTACACAGTCCTAACCATGTTTCAAAAATGGAAGCTAAAAGCTTCGAATTTAATTTTGTAATTAAATTAAAGACATTAGTTCCATTTCATCCTCAAGTGAATTTTGGATTAACTTATTTTTAAAATTACTGGGTTTTAAAGGCACAGCAAAAATCATAATTTACAGTTTCCAAGGATACAGAGAAGTCCATTCATCCAGACAAGGGGTGGTTGCGTGTTCATTTTATTAACTTTTGTTGTATCAGTTATTAGTTACGTTTGAAAAAGGGGTTATGTTTAGGTAGGGGTAGGGATGTATTTTTCAATAAATTCTGACATCCGTTAAATGCATGTCGTCTGGATTTTTTCTTTTTATAAAATTTTATTGTTAACGGCAAAAATTCTTATGGCATTTTTTCTATTTGTACACTTAAAGATTTTTTGAGGATGATTAGGTTAGAATATGTTTTATTTAAAATATTTTCACTTTGAATTTTTAATAGACTATATTTCTTTTTAAACAAGTAATTGTATTAGAATTACTTACAGTATGTAAAATTATTTTTTCATATCAAGTATAAGTATGTATACTGTTCTTTCTTTATATATATATATATATATATATATATATATATATATATATATATCTATATCAGAGATGTGGTTCTATCAACAAATGCTCAGAATACTATGGACAGAGTATATGAGCAATGAGGAGGTCTTAAGAAAATAGAAACATCAAAATTTATACATGTATAAGTTTCATTGAAAGAGAAAGCTGAAATCACTGAAACACAAGAAAGAAAGCCTGGAGAATTTAATGCTCACAGGGTCTATTAAAGGCAGGAAAACCAGGGAAAACAGCAAGTAACCTACTTAACAACTCTGAGCGAATGGATGACAGAGCAAAAAATAATTAGAGCAGCAAAATACAGGAGGCTGTGGTGGACCATTATCACTAACATACTGAAGGGCTTTGGTGCATCAAAGCATTTCCTTTATTTATATTTATTTGATATTGTTTTGTTTTTTGACAATGACCTTCATTCTGTGCCAGGCCCAAGAGCCACTCAAGGTAGAGGGTTACAGTGTAAAAGGTATAGTTTATGCAGGGGGAGGATATTTGGGGAAGATAACAGTTAACCCTAGATTTGAACAGGTTAATAGTGAAGGGTGGGGGAGTTAACATTGATTATAATAATATTCCAAACATGTCCAGATGTAGATTAATGAAACAAATTGTTGGTGGAGGAGAGGATAATTTTTATTTCATGACATTCAGTACAGGAAAAACAAAAAAGTGACAAAATGTCTTTCAAAAAAAAAAAAAAAAAAAAAAAAAAAAAAAAAAACATGAGACAGAAAAAAAAAACTGACTGTAGGGAGAGTGTTGAGAGCACATAAAAGACAGGTGGGTTGATACAGCTGGTCACACATTGGGGTGAGGAGATGTAGTCAAGGGAATTAATAAAGACAGAGTGGTAGAGATGGGCAGAGGTGGGAGATGACTGTTGAAAACTGAGTCACAAGCATTTATTATTATAAAGGAGAAACAACAGTTGTGGAGTCAAACAAAGGTTGTAACAGAGGAAGGATACCATTTATCTGCAGTCAACACCATTATGCATTAGCCAGTATTTGTCAGGGTCAAAAGAGTGGCTACCAAGATAATCAGACTCTCCCAACTAAATTATTCAACACCAGGCATAGTATCCGTCAAAAAACAGTGTGATCATTTACTTGTGGATCAGGGAGAATCAAAATTATCTACATGCTCTTACAGAGAATCAAAATGTCATTTGCCAGAAATTATGCCAATGATTAGTACTCCATTTTTTGAGCCCTAGGTCAGAGTATAATATCTGTTCTGCTTCTTTTACTGTGTCATGATACAAGACATTGGCGTCATGTTTCTGTTTCTGAGCAGTTTGTGGACTGCAATGGTGTAATCCCTGTCACAAGGATTCCAGCTCTGTGGGCTTTTACAGCCATATCACATTGAAACACAAATTCCCATATGATCACTGAAGTTAAGCAATGTCAAGCCTGGTCAGTAATTAGATGGGTGACCACTTGGAAATACCAGGTGCTGTAAGTTTGGATGTGTTGGATAATGGCTCAAAATTGTTAATCGGAGAGCTGAGTTCCAATTCCTGTTGGACTTGTTATATGCACTTACTCACAAATACCTTTAGGAAAAGTACGAATCCACCACTTCTCCCCCCAGTTATGGGTTAATTAGTAAGACATGTATCACTAAATTATTATTATCTAAAAAAAAATTCTTATAATCTAAAAATATTTTCTGCCTTTAAATAACCTGCAAATAAACTGTACAAAACAAACCAATCAATCAATATAGTGCCAACAAGGGTGGGTTCCAGCATCAGCATGACAGGGTGGCAGAGACAAGAGAAGTTTATGTCCTTGGTCCATGTGTATGCATATGGGTACTTCACATAAAACTGACCATAGGTCACATCCTGCCACCATACTGGAGAGAGTAGACAAATGTAAATTACATTGCCTAATGTTCTGACTGGACTACTTTCTTCATCACTTTACCATACTCTAGTGGGAAACATCTATTAAGATATATATATATATATATATATATATATATATATTTACTCAACCCCCCCCATGAGGTCAGGTTGTGACACAAGGTCAGTTTGATGTGAGGAGCCCAAGCACGTACACCCGGGCTAGGAACAAAAATTGCTTGAGCCCTGCAGCTGTCAGTTGTGTTGGTCTTGGTGTGAGCACTGATCCCTCTCTTTAGTGCAATGAGAGGGCATGACCTTGGGCAGCTGTTCCTCGAGGCTGGCATCTATCAGTATAATTTTCTTCAGTTGCAACTCTGTCCTTTGATGGAGCCGCCCCTGAAAACATTCTGCCCAAGGACAGAGACACAACTGAGAGATGATAAGCAATGTGTTACAAACCACTCGAGAGTAATCTTCACACACACACACATGCATATATATATATGCATGTGTGTGTGTTTGGACAGCAATCCCTTTTTAATACCTGTTTTGTTGAATAAGACTGATTTAAATGCTTTGGGAACTGTTTCCAATGAAAACAAATCCATGATAATGTTGGACACACCACTATCTGCTTGTCAAGATGACTGACTCTACATCTCTTTAACCAGAGCTCCATAAGAACACATTTAAATCAGCATGGAATTGTACCAACCTTGATACACATCATCCTTTTTGTTGCATTCAGTTCAATTTTCTTTTTTTTTACTTTCTTTCTATTTTCTCTTCTTCTGTTGCATTTGCTCCTTCCTCTTTTCTTTCTAATTTCATTTTTTTTTCTTTCTGAAGGTTTCTCTCCTTCCTCAATTTAAAAAAGAAATAATGAAAACAGAAACAAAGATTCTCTTTGTTTGCTTTTTTTTAAAAATGTTTTTTCACCAATTTTCAGATTTCGAAAATGTGATGCTATCTTTGACATTCTGGAATCTCATCACAATAATACTTTATTTCAATAGTTTCTTTTTGTGTGCCAAGCCTGCATTTTAGCACTGATGTATTGGAAAAAAAACTAGAAAAAAACGGTTTTATGAGACAAGTCAGTAAAAGTTCTTTGTTTCTTTCTGCTATTCTTGATCAGAGAACCATACTCAATGAGCTCAGACTAGAGACCTGCTTTTGAATAATGATGAATATGATATTTTAGAAGTATGTACTACTCTTATAACAAACTGATATTTGTTTAGTAAAAATTCCTTTTATATGTCCTCACAGATGCATACACGTATAAGAATTGAAAATGTTTATCAAAACTCTTGAGATGAAGAATTATCATAATTATATGCTTTGCTATTCAGACCAGCATCCTTATCTTGGTTGTTATACTCACAACGTTTCGGCTATTACTGATTTGATCATTTTAGTCTGAATTCTTGAGATGAGGAATTATCATTATTATATGCTTTGCTATTCGGACCAGCATTCTCATCTTGGTTCTTATACTCACAATGTTTCGACTATTACTGATTTGATAATCCGAGTCAAGATTACAGAGATGAGGAATTTTCAGTCCAAGAACATTTCAACACCACCTCATATGTATCTGAATATATGCACAACACTTTCTCAGAGCTCGACTAGTCACTTGATGAAAATCAGTGCAATTCATACACATTTTGAGCCAATTTACTTACAATGTACATTTCCTTTGGAAATTAGAAAGATATAATAAAATGTTGAATAGACAGACCTTGTTGGTAGTATTTAATAAAACTTGTTTGAATGAATTATTTCTGCTTATATATATATATATATATATATATATATATACACGTGCACACAACCCCCCACACACACACAGGGTGGGGCAAAAATAACTCCCACTTAATGGTAAGACATTAGCTAAATGAAGTCACTATTGCCACTAATGTCTTACCATTATGTGGGAGGTATTTCTGCCGCTATATATGTATATCTGATTGAACAAATTACAGACATTATGTCTGCTAATTTTTAATAAAATCCATTCAAACTCACAAATAACCTTCCGTGTATTGATGTTACAGGATGAGAGAAATGTGCTATAGCTGTTTAAATTTCTTTTATTTTCATTTCTCAAGTACTTTCGATCTTCTCCCAAGATCATCTTCAGGGGTGAAATTTAAACAGGGACAGCACATTTCTCTCATCCTTTAACATCAATACACGGAAGGCTATTTCTGAGTATGAAAGGATTTTATTAAAAATTAGCATATATAATATCTGTAATCTATTCAATCAGACATGCCTAAAAGATAATTTGCTGTCTAAATACACAAATATATATATATATATATATATATATAGTAAGGTAATGAAGGATTTGGTAATCCATATGGATAATTCAAAAGAGGATATATATATATATATATATATATATATATATATATATATATATATATATATATATATATATATATATTAGTGGTAAATATACACATGCAGATGAAAAAACACATATATATATATATATATATATATATATACATACATGCATGCATGCATGCATACATATACATATATATTTTTTGAATAAAAAAAATTCCAAGTGGATAGAATCCAGGTAGAACTCAATGTCCAGGACAGAGTAAGGATATAGTAAAAAGGCTTAAACAGTAATATTCCATGGTCATAATTTATTCCATTGGAATCGTAAATACGATCCAATTCATCAGACCTACAAATTCAAAAAGAAAACGGAAAAAACAACTCCGGAAACAAAAACTCACTTAAACCGTCTTTAACTCACCTCTCTAAAACTTCTCTTTGTTAAGTTTTAATCTCCCACCTTCTCTCATCTGTTACCTCTCTCTTTAGCTCTAACATTCGTTCCACACTCTCATACTTACACTCTCTCTAAATTCTATTTTTTATTTCCGGGGTTGTTTTTTTCTGTTTTCCTTTTGAATTTGTAGGTGTGATGAATTGGATCATATTTACGATTCCAATGGAATAAATTATGACCATAGAATATTAGTGTTTAAGCCTTTTTATTATATATATATATATATATATATATATATATATACACACACACACACACACACAGAAGTTATGGTAGAAATATATACATATATATATATATATAAAGTGGACATGAAAATTATCAGCCTATGTGTGTTTTTGCTTGACTGTATATACTAGTCAGTGATGCACTATCTTATTGTATTATTCCAACAGTTATTTGGGTGGGTGGGTGGTAACAGTTATATTTTAGGCACTATTGAGTGGAAAGGATTATTGATCCAGGTGCAGTTTTGTGGTTATTTTATAGTGTTGTTAATTTTTTTAATATTGATTATTTTATTGTTGGTTGTTATTATTACATTTACTCAAGTTTATGTGTGTGCTCATAGTTGTTAATTTGTTTATTATTTGCTAAATTTATTTATTTCTTTGATCTTCGAAAATTTAAATGTAATGTCAATCGTTATCTTCTGTCATCTTAATTACTGTTCTTTTATTGTTCTCTCTCCTTAATAGTGCTTTTTCCCTCATATTTTCTCACACTGTGTAATCTCTGGCATCTTAGTGGCTTTATTGCCATGCTTGGGGTGAAATGATTAATAAAAAGATAGATAGATAGATAGATAGATAGATAGATAGATATTTATTGTTGTGCTTTTTTTCTTTCCTAAAAAAACAAAAAAAAAAAAAATCAATATTTCCCTTCATTGTACTTACCTTTCAATGCCTTGTCAAGTAAATGACAACCCATGCTTAGTTTCCTTACAACCAGTGATGGAGGACCATCGTTTTTGTACAACTGCAGTACTGGAAGAAGAAATTAAAAAGCAATTGAAGGAAAAAAAGAAATAAAAATTGACCAATATTTGCATTTTTTTTCTTATTTGCCAATAACATCAAATGCAAATTTGATAAAACATTTTCTTTAGTATTTAATGAAAACCGAAATCTGTATAATAGTCTCTTTGGATAGACATTACTTTATTTTTTGCCAAGGTAGTTTCAGTTAATTAGTTTTGCTTACCTAACAATAAAATTTGCCTGAATTTCTGAGATGAGGAGTTACCATTATTTAAGCTGCATAAAGAAATTTTCCTGCTTACCAGTGATTGAACAGTTAGAAATTCTACACAATCAAGTTGCATTATATTGCTTGGTCTAGGCAATCTAGGCTTTGAGCACTTTACTGAGTAGGTAAGTTTGTCCAAATAAGTTTGATTAAAAGCAACTGACAAGGTTTGTCTGTTTAATTTTCTGTTGTACTTTTCCAATTTTCAAATAAGGTATTGACTATTATGCTTGAATACTACAAGCAAGTCTCTTCCCCATTGAGCTGTACAAGCTAGCTCAGAGTGTATAGATCAGCAGCCAGGCTCTGGTCACCGAGATTTTTTGAGGTGCACTTATAAATTGTGGTATCATCTGCATATATATTTACAAATAATCAGAAATGTATCTGAGTCAGCACATGAGTTCAGCCCAGTGTTGTAGGCAGCAGATAGTCTCTTCCTTGACACTGTATAGATGGTGGGAATTTGTGTTCAGGTATTGTCTGGTGAATATTGGCTTATGATATATGTATGTCTTGAACCATACCCTGTGCAATTTACTAATACATTCCAACATAAAAAGTAGCCATAAATACAGATCAAATTTATCAAGGAACTGTCCCAAGTTTATAATGCTTCATCTGAGTACTTTTGACCATCACTGGACATCACTGAAAACATTAATGTTATTTGTTTCAAAAGAGAAAAGCTTTGATTAATTTCATCCAGACATTTTGAGAAACATAATAAATTTAATTTGAATAGACAAACATTGTCAGTCAAATTCCACAAAAAATTTGAATATGTGCGTGCGTGTGTGTGTGTGTGTGTGTGTGTGTGCATGCAAATTTGCATATGTGCATAGCATGTATAATTATCCCACCTTGTCTTCCAGGAATCTTTTCCAAATGCCCACTAGTTGGCATTGTTTGATTGATTGACTGATTCGTTTCCTATGGCTTGCATGTTAATTAAAGCCAGAAAATATTTTTAGATTGTAAGAATTTTTCTTTTTTGATAGATAATAATGGTTTAGTGATACAAGTCTTACTATTTAACCAATAACAGGAGGAGTAGAGGTGGATCCATACTTTTCCCAAGGATAGTTGCATATAAGTGAATATAACAAAACTAATGGGCATTGGGACTCAGCTCTTTGATTAACAATTCCAAGCCATTATCCATTAGACCATGTGCACATCCAAGCTTACAGCACCTGGTATTGCAAACGGTCACCCATCTAGTTACTGACCATACTCGAAGTTGCTTAATGTTAGTGATCATATAGGAGCTGGTGTTTAATCATGATATGACCATAGTTGGCATTGTATTAAGCTGTATGAAAGGAAAGGATGCAAACTTTTTTTTCTTTCTCTTTATCCACAGGATAGTGTAGCAAAAAGATGTGTCATTTCCTCCCTGGAGTATTTAATCCCTATGTATGCCACATGTCACTTGGTGAACAGACTTTTTAGTCTTAATTGAACCATGTGGCACATTATGCAAGCACACCTACATGCATAAACACACTACAGCTAATCATATTAATATATTTTTCTCTCCTTTATTTGTGTTATGTTGTTCTGTATATAAATATATGTAAAATCCATGCACATGTTGAATTCATTTATTTTGGAAGTTTCAACTGCAGATATTATTAATGTGATCTTCTCTTTATTACAAAGTCACAAGTTATTGTAACAAAGGATTTGAGTATACAAGCCTCATTCAAATTGGTGATCATGCTATATTATTTGCTCTTTTACAGAAACTTTAACCAAATTCTGCTTAGCATAGTTGTGGTATGGACCAGAGGTTGGCATTGTTCAGTTTGAAGAAACACAAATGTGCCTAAGCAGGCAACTGTAAGAGGGATTTGCTTGCCACCCTAACAGATTGGCATATTTTGAAATGATATATATTGTAGCATACCTATGGATGATAATGGGTATGTCTTGCAGTAAATCACTATTTGTATTATCCTCTCAAATTACACCAAAATCTCAGACAATAACAATTAATATCGTATTTATTATCTGTGAAAATTATAGAATATAAAACAACTTTGATAAAAACTTATACCTACTTTTCTGATGAAAACAATGCCATTCTGAACATTTTGGCAGCAATTGTATGCAATTGAATTTTGGATGTGTGTGATTCAGTTTGGGGGATATAAAATTGTTAGTGTATTGATCAGAAATATTTTTTCAGGATAAATTTATTCATGTATTGAATATTGATCAAAAATGTTTTTTTATGGATAAGATTGGAACCATGTTAATGAGGTTTTCCTATATATATATATATATATATGTGTGTGTGTATGTATGTATGTATGTGTGTGTGTCTATATATATATATATATATATATATATCTATTACCTACATCTTTATTACGGATGGAAAGTATGAAATCATCAGTTTACAGTTTGTACAATGCACTGTCTCCTCATTAAAAAAACAATTTTAGAATCAAGTGTAAACCTTGGACTTAAATATCTTCAGCCAATTTAGAGGGAGCAAAAATTAGAGTTTCTGCTATGAAAATATATCTGCCAGGAATATATGGGATGTGGTTACTAATGAGAACTAAATTAACATTGCAAATCCTTCTAGCAAAGCAAAAGCTGTTTTACATGCAACTTGGCATACTTGATACTGTATGTAACCTGTTGATATAAGTAAACAAAAGTGACACAATATTTAAATTGTTTATAATATAAATTCACAATTCTGATTTGTGGTTTTCAGACAAATTTTCTTTCGTTGTACATGAATATGGTACATATGTTACCAACTGAACAAGAAATCTGACAAATCCTTATCCAAAATTCAAAGGGGGCATTGGGATAGCGAAAGATGCCTTTTAGAAATTAAGCAATTAATTAAGAAACAAAATTTCATTGGAAACAAAGAAAAGAGTATTAAAATATTATGTAATATCAGTCCTTCTATAAGGTAGCAAATGCTGGACAATCTCCTCACAGATGAAGAAAAGACTTGAGGTAACAGAAATATGGTTCTACAGAAGGCTGCTGAGAATAACATGGACTGAACATGTGAACAATGACAAAGTTTTAGAGAAAATAGAAACAAAAAGGACACATACTTAAAATCAGAAAAAAAGAGTTGAAATTTCTAGGGCACATAATGAGGAAAGAGGATGGGGAAAATTTAATACTCACAGGACATATTGAAGACAAGAGGGATGAAAGAAGAAATAATATAATCTACCTAATTAGCCTGTGTAAATGGTTGGCAGAACAGGGATTAGGAGAGATAACAAAAAGACAAAATTTACTGAGAGCTACAAAAGACTGAAAATTCTGGAGAGCCATGATTGTCTGCATCATGAAGAGGCATGGTGCAGAGAATAAGTGGTAGTATTAGTTGTAATATCATTTACATTTCTTAGATGGAACATTATCAGTTATTAATTTCTGATGAGTATTTCTTTCATTTTAATATCAGTTTTATTTACATAACTCACGTTAGTAGTAATATTGATGTTCTTCTATAAAGTCAGTCAGTTATGTGCCATGCGTGATACACACTTAGGCAATCATGACTGATGAGGCAGATATTTTTCCCGCAGTAGGTTGCCATTTCTTCCTGCAGTAGACCAGTTGCCATCCAAGGCTATAGAACCCGGTCTGTCCTACTATTTACCCATAGCCCTTTAGAAGAAGAGGATTCATATTTTTCTCAAGGGTATTAGCACATAAGTGAATGTAATGGATTCAATTGGGATTTGAACTCAGCTCTCAGATTCCTCAATCTGAGCCACTATGCATTATGCCACCATAGCCGATACTAAATTTTGACAAGTACTTCCGTCATTCTATCATCTTAATTTCTGTTGCTTTTTACTGCATCATCACTACATGTTTGTTAATAATAAGTAGTTGCTAAATCTTTTTCTTTTATGTGCAGTGTCTCTTCAGAATGCTGGCGATCATGGCCCTCCACATCTTCCTGTCCTTTGTAGCTCTTAGTAAGTTTTGTCTTTTTGTTATTCTCCCAAGCCCTGTTCTGCATTTCATTTTCAAGTTCATCAAGTGTGTTACATGCTGCTTTCCTCTGTTCCTCTTTCCCTCAATCTGTCCTGTGAGTATCAGATTTTCCAAGCTCTCCTTCCTCATTACATGCTCCAGAAATCTCAACTGCCTCTTTCTGAGGTTAGGTATGCTTTCTTTTTGTTTTCATTCTCTCAAAAACTTTGTTGTTGCTCACATGTTCAGTCCATGGTATCCTCATCATCTTTCTGTAGAACCACATCTCTGCTGCTTCAAGTCTCTTCCTTATCTTTGAGGAGTGGAGATTATAAAAGGCAATAAAGAAAACTTTCTAGGTCTAAGAGAGAAGGTGTTTTTTCATGAGAGTCATGTTTATTTTATTAGTTTCCAAAAGTAATCCAATCTTTATACATTTTTAAATCATTTCACTCCAAGCAAAGCAATAAAAACTATCTGGGTAGTGTAGTAACAAACAATGTAAAATGCAACAAAGAAATCCAAGAATAGTGGAAGAAGTCTTACAGAAACTAAGTAAAGTATTAAGAAATAGAAAAAAATAATTTTAGAAACCAAGAAAAGATTGCTGAACTGCTATATATCTAATCTATAAATGAATGGTGGGCAACCTCCTCACAGATCAAGATGACACTTGAAGCAACAGAGATGTGGTTCTGTTGATGAATGCTAAGAATACCATGGAGAGAAAAGGTGAGCAATGATGAAGTCTTAAAGAAAATAA